GAGGAATGAGTGCCTCTATCAAAGAGTTAGGGGGTGCAAAAGTGGTGACTTTTTATATATACATTCTTATTTAAATCACTCGTGCAGATGACAAGCCCTGGAAAATAATAAATGAGTATTGTACATTTGATCTATTGAAGCTGCTATTCTAGTTGTGTTTTTTACTTAGATGAATAATAAGTATACCCTCTGACAATAAACAGGCAGCTGTTGATTTGGTAAAAAGCTTTCCCTTTACCCCTGTAAATGGGAATCAATGGAAACAATTTGTTTTTACCTGGAAAAGATCAAAGTACAGCTTCCTCCTGCGTGATATCTACTCTCTCGTGTTTCCATAAGTTAGTCCACAGGGACGTTAAAGTTTCTGTTCCCACAAGCACCTAATGCTTGTCCATTAACTTGGTAACGACGGTAACAGAACAGAGAGCATGACCTAGCCAGCACTGAGGGAAGCACACATGTGAAAGAGTGGGAGATTAAAGGCCGACCCCCTTAGAGACATGTCTGAGAGTCCAGTGATCTGAGGCAATCAGGATCCCCCTTTCAAACTAAGGAAATACTTTGCTGTACCTTGCACCCCCCCAACAAGGAAAACATGTTGTGGGTTCTTTGCGTTTAGGAGAAACACACACCTCTTGTGCATTAGCCTTTCTGACGTACTCACTAGCCGACCCTGAGGATGACGCACATTGAGTGTGGTTCAGAGTTACCCGTTTGGTCTTGTTGGGGTGCAGACCGCTCTGCCTCTCTCCTCCACGGCATCGGGCCACTGTGTGTTATCCCACCCCTGTATGGAGCAGTGGCAGACATGGTTAGAGAATCAAAGTGGAGACCTAAAAATTCTGTAGATTGCCAGGCCCTCTTCTGCAAGTGGCCACTCCCTTCTTTACAAAAGCTCATGGCGTCTCCCCAGGCCATGACTGAGATCACACGCCTGCCGGTGGACTGGGAAACCAGCCACAGAAAAAGCGCTGCCCGTCATCAGTCAGGGGCCGCTCTACTCTCCTACAATGTGACCGCCATGAAGGAAGGCACAGTCTGCCTCGTACACCACTCTTCCCCAGGTTCTGGACCAATACCTACTGCGCAGCCATTGTTTCATAGATATTTGCCAAGAGATGGAGGAAAGGAACATGGTAGGATGGAAGGAAGGAGCAAGGGAGAGTGGGAGAGAGAAAGGGAACCGGCTGCACTTACCCAGAGACACGTTCACAGAATGGAACTCCCATCAGCAGGGTGACACCTGCCCAGGGCCCGAAAGCCCACCTTTCATACAGTTCTCCCCAAATATGAGCCTGCTGATTCTACTTTCACTGAAGCTGCGCCCACAGCCTTATCTGTCTTTCATGGGAAGTTTTCTAAGGGCGGCTGACAACTCCAGGGGAATAAATTCAGCCCTGGGCCACAGGTTTCTCTGTGCGATTTGCTGGCACCGACCACAAGTGGACAGCTGCAAGGTGACAGCCCACCCTCCAGGGCTGTCCTGAAGGACAGCTGGCTGAAGTGTCAGCCACTGAAGAGAGGCCTGGCACGAAGTTTCTGTGCCAATCAAGAGGAGGCGGTTGACGGTTTGCCAAGGTGGTAAGAATCTAGGATGGTGTGTCACTAAAGGCCTGGTGGGAAAGAAGCCTGCCTGAGAACGATGTGTACGAACTTCTGGAAGTGGAAGTTCAAGGACTTCCCAGAGTGGAAGACGTCTGTGTCCCACGAGAATGCGGCTCCGAAGCTGCCCTCTGTGAAGGAGGTGCTCAGTCCTGGTGTGTGCAAAGCAGCCCTCTCAGATGACGTCAGCCGGCCTCCTCCTCCACAGTCCTGTCGTCGTGAATCAGCGAGGCTCGTCAAAGCTGACCAGGCCTCTAACTCTGCGGGTTGTCTGATATGCCAGTGGCAAAAATAGGGAATTATTTGGGAAAATAGGGAACATTATAGGGGAACAGTTGAATATGCTTTTGTTAAGTAAGCCTTTTGAAATAATATAGAAATGCTGAAAGTCATAAAGGAAAAGATATTTGACTTCACCTTTTTAAAATAGTGTGTAGTATAAAATATATTTTAAAAAGTCAAAAACACATAGGACAAAGGGTTAATATCTCCAACATAAAAAGCATCCTTATAAATTACTTTTAAAAGAAGACCAGCCATTGGAAGGGAAAATGGATAACAGATAGAATAAGTCATTGAGAGAAGAGGAAATTCAGATGAGAAATGGTCACATGAAAAAGTTGCTCACCTTCCCCACTAGGGACGGCAGATTACTACAAAAAGATCCTGTCAGGACTTTTTGTGCACACACACCCCCAAATAAAAAGAGTGATAAGAGCGTGCAAGTGAAGCGTGAGCGGTGGAAACAGTCTTAGCCTCGCCGCTGCGAGTGTGTGCTAAGCCCTCTCCGGAAATGACATTGGACATCTTCTGCAAACACGGCACATTCTGCAGCTCCATCAATGCCCCCTCAAAGAAAGCTACAGGGCCCAGCACAAACAACAACCCTTTTTATTACAAAATCTTTCATTACAAAATCACAAGCATGTCATTCTGGAACACAACAATGTCACACTCCCTATGACGTTTTCGGTGAAATGTTCAAATTCAAACTGTAAGTTGTCACACCCATACTATTCCCCTACTGGCCACACTCACTCGGGCCTTACTTCTGCCAGACCCTGTATTTGTATCTCAGAGAGAGAGCAGCCGAGGAGCCCACGGCTGGCATCCAGGGACATCTGTCACTGCTGGCTGAAGAGGCACTCGGGTGCAGGAAAGCTTCCGTGCCTGTAGCCAAGCAAATGATTGAATGATTCGCAGCCCACCTTACTGTGGCTTGTTCTCACCTACTTTTCAAAAGCACTGGTCTTCTTCTACTGATATGTGAAAAGGGACACACTAGAGTTTGCATCATAAATTTTTGTTAAGTCAGTCTTACTGTCACATGCATAGCAGTCCCTCTGACAGATAGTGGCTGTGCGGACTTGTATGAACAGATGGAAAGGAACGGCAGAACAGCAGCCAACAGTCGAACTCTGTACATCACAGGCATGGGAGTGAATGGTGGGTGTACTAGAGCCGCACAGAGAAAAACCTCTCGGAATGTTGTGTGTGTGTGTGTGTGTGTGTGTGTGTGTCCGTCCTTTAATTCTCTGCGACTTTTTAAGGATCAACTAAAGAATGCTTAAGGGAAAAGCATCGCATTCAAAGTGCTCAATGCTCCTCTGTTTTGCTTTATTTCTACTTTTACATAATCAAGTCATTAATGTTTATTGAGGGAAAGTATACAGAGAAAAATCGGTCATTCTAGAACAATTGCGTTCTAAGAGAAGACTTTAAATACTGCCACAAATTGTTCAGGAAAAGCTCTTTTTTTTTTTTCTACTATGATTTAGCTGTTAATTATTTGGGCATGTGTTTTAAACCTATGACTGATGATGCCCTTGAGGTTTTTTTTTTTCCCAGCTTGGGAGACATTTGTTTTAAATTTTTACAATTTAACAAAAATACACTTGATCCATAGGAGAAACTACCCTGGCCGGAATACCTCTTGCTACATTAAGGTCACGTATCATATGACTATTTAAATTAGAACCAGAAACGTATGTCTTCCTGTTTCTGGAAAGGCTTTCAAATGTTATCTCAGGATAAATAAACTCTTATAAAACTTCAAGACGGGTTATACACTGGATTTTCATCTCCGAAGCCCCCATAGATGTGTGAGATCCTGATTTTTGTTTTAAAATGCTTAGTGAAAAGGGTGTTGTTCTCGTCTGGGAAGGAAACAACGTATTTCTGTTGGTCTAAACAGTTAATTCACATCACATGAAACTTGCGACTTGCACATATTCAACGTGAAATTCTATACTCTATTTATATACTTAAATAAAAGACTTAAATGGATGTACAGAAAATATATTTATATTTGAGATTACTTCAAAAGCTTTTTTACATTTCTCAAGGAAATCTTGTTTTAGAACAAAATTCACTTATAAAGATTTAACTACAATATAGACAAACTATTAGAAAAAACAACGACATCAAAGAGTTGTGAATAAATAGTGTGTAGTTAACAGGTCTTCCTTCTTTTTTTGTTTGTTTGTGTTGTTATCCAACTAAAATAGCTCTCCTTCTCTGAAATTGAGAAAAGATAATTTCAGTAATTAAAATAGTTTTATTAGGCAACCAGCTTCACCGCCGCGGCTCTGTCGCCGGGCCAGCCTCGAGGCCTTCTGCACCGCGTGGCTCGCCGAGGTCCCGCCGCCGCCACCCAGTCAGCCCGCGGCTGCCCCCACGGGCCACAGGACACGGGTGAGGAATCTGCTGCTCCCGGGCGACGTACTTCAACCAGCCAGACGGTGATGCCTGGGAACTGTGCAAAGGAATCAGTGAATATGCTTGTCGGTTGTGATCTGGCTCCGGAATGCGGCTCACTGACGCTGCTTTGCGGGCGTGCAGACGGTGCAACGGTTTGGCTAGTGCGGTTCCCATCCTAGAGGGTGTGAAGGACAAAGCGGGACCACCCTTAGGCCATTCGGGACCTCAGACCAGCTTTAAGTGACACCGGAATCTCCACCCCAGAGGAACGGCCTTGGTAAATCGTAAACCCTCGGGACGGGCTTTCCCTGGGTTTACTGATAATGCCGCTGGATTATAAACAAGCACCTGGAAATGCCCATGATAACGTAGTACCTCATTTGAACAGGTTTTCCTTTACGGAGCACCAAACCACGTAATGGTAACTTGGACTTTAATAGAAAGCAAATGAGCCAGAACTAAAATTTTAACAAATATATTTTATTAGATTACAGATATTTATGGATTTAATCTCAAATCCTCTGTGAAAAGCTTTCATGGACTTACAGTGTTCTCCACTTAAGTGGTTATTAATACATCAAACATCCTCCACTTAAATGATATATATTTATATGTTACAAATTCACATGTGACTTGTTTAATATAAACTACAAGAAACCTGAAAAGATATTACACTAACATATTTATTTTATGTACAGGGTTTCCCAAGAGAAATGCAAAGGAAGAGAAATGTACAGATGGACCTGAGCTCCAAAGCCTCACACCTACTGGCGTAGTTATTCAGGTTTCCTTGGCCGTCTAGGTTCCCTCGGAGGCTTGGGCCAGAGGCTGCGTCTGCTCACTGTCAGCCACTCCACAAATAATAAATAGTACTATTAACAGCAGTACATGTGGGTAGAATTTGGATGATTGTTGTTTAATGGCACTAGGCAACAGAACACTAATTGGATTGTCAGTCAAGGTTTTCTTGATCTTGCTTTAGGTGTGTTATGCTAAGGAGAAATGTTAAACTGATCATTTCTACTTTTAAAAATACAGCTTAATGAAAAAGCAATTTAGCAAATTTGGGGGGCTGTTCTACATCATTCACAGTGTTGTGTTCCCACAGAACAATTCAATTTAGTGGAACTCCCTGGGAAGTTTAGTCTAAGTCGAAATAAAAAGTCGCCACTGCCTGCAAGGTCGCACGCTTGTCTGATGGGCCGAAATTGCTAGAGTAAGTAGCATTCTTTCAGACCCACAGCACTCTCCCCTCTTTGCACCTAAATCCATCCTTTGAAAAGGAGTGGCTTCGTGTGGAAGTTAATTCAGTTGTTTTTATTAAATCTGATACAATCCATTTAAAGAAACATTTACACCCACAAATAACTGTCTCTTGTATGTGCTTGTTTTTATTCATTTTGTTATTCAAGCAATCTCCAAAAGAGATACAAGGAAGTTTCAAGAACCTGATAGGTTGAGTCAGTCTGAGTCCTTGTACTGGCAGACGTATAAGACAAGAAGCTGAATCCCGAGTGCATTTGGTTTTCAGAGCTCTAAAAATGAAGTAAAAAGAAAGCATCATCATTTCTGTCACTGTGTTTTTGATTTCTAGTATGTCCATTTGATTTGATTCTTTTCTATAGTTTCCTGCCCTGTGCTGAAGTCACCACCCATCTATGCTTGCATGTTGTCTGAGTTTTCTATTAGAGCCTTTGACATATCATTCCTAGTTATTTTCAATCCTGCATCAGCCCCGGCATCTGGGTCGTAGCTGAAGCTGGTTCTGACAATTACTTTCCATCTTCAAACTATTTACTCTTGACTTTTCAAAAGCCTTGTAATTTTCGTTGGAAGCCTGACCGGTGAGATTCTGAAGCAAATTGACCTTATGCTTGAAGACGAACACACTTTTTCTACTCCTACACCTTTCTTGTGGGGGTTGGTGTTAATCTAGTAAACATCAGCCTGGGGTTTCAGTTTGGTGCTGCTGTGGTTCCCCTCCACGTCCCGGCGGCTCCACAGTTCTATCGGGCACCTCGTGTTTGGGTACCGGATAGCTTACCCAAGAGAACTTCTCAATGCCCCATCGTCAGGGCCTCTGTCTCCAAAAAGACCCACTAACACGCAGCGGCTATTTCTCAAAAGACCTATAGTGCCCACTGCAGGTGGCATGACTACACTCCAGAGCCACATGGGTCTTCACTGAGATTCTGCCAGTGGCACGTTTCATAAACTCCAGATGGCCTCTTTCCCACCCGACACCTCCAGCACCACAAAGGCCAACTGGATTCTGCAGCCCAAGCTCGGACCTGCCACGGAGCCCATCCTCATTCGGGAAGGAACACGCCCCTGCGAGACCGTGACCGTGGCCCAGCAAGACCGGTGTAGGGCTTCTAACTGACCCGACTCTACAATCAATATGTTGTTGCGCACCACCGACTTGGTGGTCATTTGTTACAGCATCCATAGAAACCTAATACAGAACATATCAAAACCATAGGCAGCCATTACAATATCAGTTCCAACTTTAAGGATAGCTGCAGGCATATCCTAGGAAGAGGAGAGATGCTGAAATCCATGTGGATTATTTTTTATTAAGCTACGAGACCTGAGGAAAAACAGTTCTGTGGACAATGGGGAGGTAAAAATCGTTGGGCTGATCAGGTGAATTTGAGTAGTCACACTGTTGAGGTATAAATATTTGGATAATGCAACTGCTGATGGATTTGATTTAAATGAGTAGGAGGAAGAGACCAAGTGAAAGGCTGTATCATGCTTAGTACTGGAACAGACAGCTTACATACAACAGGTTGTAAGTTTTTTTTCCTAGTTCACACTGAAAAGAATATGAAGAGATGGCATCAAATCCCTTTCTTTCCAACTCTCCCTCTGGTTTCCAGTAGACTCTTATTTCTTCTGAGTATTATGCTCCATTTAGTTAACACTAAGCAACAAACCTAAAGTGAAGATGTTGTATGAGTCATGGGCAAGTCCAATGTTACAAGAGAAATTTCCTTGATCCAAGGTGCCTCTGAGGTCACAGAACAGAAAGACCAGACCTGGACCAATGTCACCAACTTTTTTTATTGCAGAGCCATAGGGCTGAGGGCTCCTGGTCAGAGTAGTAGTGTGTCAGCTAGCTTCCTGAACAGACTTGGGTAGTTCTTGGGTAGAGGGTCTGTCACCCCTCGGTGACCAAATGAAGTGTTCGTGAAAACCACGAGCTTCGTACAGCTCCTGAATGTCAGGTAGCTTTCAATCTATTCATTGTTTTCTTTTTTATTCTTTGTCTTCATTGAGGTAGAATTGATACCCAAGCTGTACATGTTTAATGCATAGAATGTGATGAGTTTGGACAGATGCATACGCCCATGAAGCCACCACCGCAATCAAGGTAATGGCCACATCCATCACCCTCGAAAGTGTCCTTGTACTTCCTTTGCTGTCCTTGTTTTATAGGAACACAGCCTGAGGTTTAGCCCCTTAACCAATTTGAACCGTAGAGTACGATATCGCCAAATACAGACACTACGTAGTACACAGATGTTTAAAATGCTTTTGTCCTGTGGGCGCGGGGCCTCTGTGCCGGGTGAGCACCTCCCCGTCCCCCACTGTCCTATTCTGTTCTCTGCTTCTGTGAGTCTGACTGTGTTAGGTCCCTCAAGTGAGTGCAGCCATACAGTATCGGTCCTTCTGTGACTGACTCGTTTCACTCAGCACAATGTCCTTCGAATGCATCCATGCTCTTGCAAATAGATGACAAGGGCTGGCGAGCGTGTGGAGAACTTGGAGCTCTCGTGCGCTGTGGGTGGGAATGCGGACGGGCACAGCCACTGTGGAAAACAGGCTCCTCAAAAATGGAAAACAGAACTATCTGATGACCCCCTGGTCCCACTTCTGGGTATTTATCCAAAGGAACTGAAATCAAGATCCCAAACAAAGATCTGCCTTCCCATATTCATTGCACCATCATTCACAATCACCGAGATATGGAAACAACACAAATGTCCATCGACAATGAGTAGATAAAGAAAATATGACATATTCTTATAATAGAATATTGTCCCCTTCTTTTGATGTTTCAGATTATGATAATACTAAGCACTTAAATATATTAAACACATCCTATGAACTCTGCCTATGTCTAACAAGCTCTTTGCTATATTTATTTATACTTTAAACATGTAAAATTTTCATCTGTGTTTTACAAAACTATAGACCTGTTCGCATTTCATAAAAGAACTCAGTATTCTGAAGGGTAAATGTACATCACGCAGGGCCTCAGAATTTGCTTTTGCATTGGTCAGCAGCACCACAAGGGCACCACCCCTCCCGCTGAGCAGGATTCCGTGATGGCCGGCCTGGAACTCAGGAGCGGTCAGCCCATAGCCTGGAAAAAGCTGCACGAGAATCATGAACTTCCTGTCTTTGTAACCTGAACTGTAAATAAATAGCCAAAGGTTATGTGCTTGGCAGTGGGAACAGAAAGTGAAAGAGAGAGAAAGAAAGAGACCAGTAGGTATCCGGGGCAAAAACAGAACCTGGGTGTGAGCCAGCGGCTAGGGGAACTTCAGGGGAAAGAGTGCCATTCCTGGTTTGGTAGAAGAACATGAGCCTAAGACAAAGATGTATGTGGTGAAGAGGCAGAAAGCATCCCTGATAAATAGCAACAGAACGGAGACTGGTAGGCTTCCCATCCTGGGGAAGCAGCTGGTGGGGTTACTTTAGATGTTCAGAAACCGCCGGTCCCCACCTTTTCTGACATCCGATTATTCTGACTCCGGTAGTTTTAATGGTACGCCGTTTGGGAGCCTTCTCGACATTCACATGAGATATAGCCCAGTAATTAAGAGCCCTGTTGGCTTGTTTTATGTGTTCACTATAATGAAGTGGACTTAATTTTTTCAAGATGTACTCCTATAATGACCTGAATATTTCCTAGGTAAGAATTCTCTCAACTTAATGATGGCCATGGAGCATTAGTACAACATATCACATAATTCTCATCAAAACTTTTAGAAGGCATCAAGCGGTACCACTTGGCATAGAGGCTGTCCTTTCTTTAAGGTTAATTTAGACAGGATGATAAAGCTACTGCCATACTTTCTTACATTCTTCACTGCACTAGCATATGGTGGTAATTTCAGCAGACCGACTTAAATGATTAAGATAAAGCTGGGTAAAGACCTGGTTTTGGAAAGGATCAGCAAATAAATGGCAAGTGCACCATCACTCCCTCCTCTTAAACCTGCGGTTGATATTATTAATTAATCGGCGTTTCGTTCCTCCCTGCGCCCAGCTGAACGCACAGTGAGAAACACTGACTGAATCGTATTTCAGGCCTCCCTCCCCACAGCTGTGCTCAGCGCTCACGACTCGACCCACTTGCCATCAGCGATTTCCTCCTCTGGCCCTCTGCCTGCAGTGCCGGCGCTGGATCCAAGTGATTAATGTAACCTCATTAAGTTAATGAATCAAGTACTTTCGCATTTCTGGAGGGAGAGAGGAACTAAAGCTTTCGGCCGTGTCCTACTCCACACACTGATACATTGTTTAAATGTATTCAAGTTGCTTACAGAAAGTAAGCATGATTTAGAAAACCTCAATCTCTAAACAATTCCCAATCCCCGAGTACCATATGATTTCACTCACATGTGGGATCTAATGAACAAACTGAACTAACGAGCAAAGTGGAGACAGACCCGTAGATAGAGAGCAGGCCGACAGCTTGAGATGGGGGGATGGGGGGATGGGGGGATGGGGGCGGGAG